CTATTGGTTTTTGTCCACCTTTCCCCCATTTACAATTTATATTCTGAAGTCAAGCTTACAGTGAAAATTTACCACCTAATGGTAATGGTTAAAATCCCCTCATATACAGGGAAGTCTGTGTGTGAGCAAAAGCTTACTAAACATACTGTGGTTATTATTATTTTTTCTTTTCAGTTGGAGCAGCTAACATTTTTACTTTTTCGATCTGCTTGCTGGATAATCGTCATGCCAATTCATAACTTCATTTAAAGAGCTAAGCTGGGACTAACAGTGGGAGGGAAGGAAAGAAGAAATCTTTTTCACTTTCTTGTCTATCAGCACTAATCCTCTTAGAAGTACCCTTTCAATCAAGTGATCCTAGAGAAGCTCAATTTCCTCAGCAAATGGAATACTGAAAGGTACAGTTGAAAAGGTTCCTACTGTGAGTGAAAAATGAAAATAAAGGAGTGACCTATGGAGACACCACAAGCCTAGGAACACATAGGGCCTCACGTCTGTATCATGTCAGAGATATGCACATATCTCTGTCAAATTGAAAAGCCAAGGAAATGGAAGGCTTTGTCTTTCTGCTGGTGGGGACAAGTACTGGAAATATTTTATTGCAAAGTGACTGAGACCCTGCTAGAGGTTTAACACTTAGCAGGCAGGCAGCAAGAGCTTAGAGAAAACAGAATGAGATTTTCTCCACTGGGCTCCTCTAGCCTTGACAAGGGTGACAACTATATTTTTTAAATAGTGTGATGGATTCAGATGGCTCTGAAAAGTTTTATCTTAAAAATAAAGTAGTGGAAGCATCCCTTGTGAAAAATGACAGGGGAAATAAATACATTACAGAATGGTATAGAAATGTTTCAGAAACTGCCTATAGATTGTCCAAAGAAAACAGAATCAATTTTTCCGAGAAGATTGAATAGAAATATTTAATGGACCCAGTTTCATTTAATACCCACAGAGTTCATGTGAAAATGTAATTGAAGAGACTGGGGATGGAGAACAAAAAACGATAAGAGGCACAAATAGTCCTTTACAGCTTCTTTAGAAGGTCACAGTCCACTTTTTATGGCATGATGTGAAGCATAAGGTTAAAGCGGGTTTTCAAAGACTTGGCTTTACCCCAACAGTCTCTCTTTAATGTTGTTTGCAAAATTTATACTGAAGGCAGATTTATGAACATTGTTAGAGAACAGGTATTTCTTTTCTTATTCATGGAGAAGAGGTTTGTTATTTTGGTCCAGTTGCTAAGCAAAATTAAGTCTGAGTTTGGGCTGTAAATTTCCAACTGTATCTATATTAGCTTTGTGTTTATTCTGAAATAGCAAGACTTCTGGTTTCAAATCTGAGAATCTCAGGGTCATATACAATTTTTATCACCTCCAAGGTCTTGTCCAGGCCATATGGAAGTTTTACCTAGGAAATTCCAAAATAACATGGTTAATCATTCTTTGATGAGAAAAACAGTATATCAAGACTGAGAAGAGCTGGGGCTGGAATACTGGTTGAGATAGTAGATTGCAGGGTCAAACTACCTGAGTTTGAAATTTGGCTCTTTCTCTTACTAATGTTGACACCTTGGGAAAGTTGGTAATGTCTCTAAGCCCCAGTTACTCCATTTGCAAAATGAAGATAATAACAGTGCCTACTTCAAAGAGATATGGTGAAGATTAAATGAGATAATGCATGTAAAGTATTTAGCACACTATTAACATATAGGGGGAAAAAATCAACCCTTACTATCTTGCAGACGGTTAAGACAAGATCCTGGAGCTTGGTGTTGTTAGACTGAGGACACAATGGCTATATTTCATTTCTTCATATCCTAACTGCTACATTTTCCTTGCCCACCCCCACCTCCCACCGTCCCACCCCCACCCCCCGAGCTTCTCCGTATTTGTTAAATGGACTCCGCCTAATCAGCACAGAAAGTTCTGGTCAATGCCAAATCTTTTTTTAAAATTCCCTGCTTTATTCTGCATCTTTACACATTAAGTATTTCTCCACCTAAGTTTGAGTATTAATGCCTCACAGATCTTAACAGACAGAAGAAAGAATGGTACAAAGAGAGGAAATGAACAGGGACAAAACAAAGAAACAGAAAGGCTTGTAAGAGCTGAGGAACCTAGTTGGTGATTCAGCTGCTCTTAGCCACAGAACCTTTGTTTCCAACATTGTTCCAACTGGAGCACTGGTCCCCTGAGATGACTAGCAAACAGTTGATTCATCGAGAAAGTTTGTCCAAAATATTCCATACCACGCTTTCCTCTAGGAGAGTCTCAATGCACATTAACAAATTAAAGATTCTGAGAAGTACTGCAGAAAAAAAAAAAAAAAAAACACAAACAAACAAAAAACTCTGTTTTACTTTGTTTAATCTCCTAAGACTGATCAATACTTAACACTAATCAATAACATTTGGAGAAACATTTTACTACCGTAATTTTACAACTGGGTAACAGGAGGATACCCATAAATAAAGAACAAATTTTGGAGAGCTAATGAACCAAAGTTGATGAGCAGAAAAGTGGGACTAACATTTAGTGAGTGCCTACTATGTGTGCCAGATATTGTACTATTTTAAAAATATTTGCTCATTCCCAATAGGTTAAAGTAATGGCTTTTAAGTGATCGGGGGTATTTAGAGTGCTTTATGAAAGAACGTCTTGGCACATATTAAGTTTTCCTTAAGTGGGGACACAATAGCTCTTTAAAAATTGAAAAATCTTGAGAATTCATGTAGCCCATATCCATGCCTAAGAGTATTGCTTTAGCATGCACTGAGAAATTTGCAGATTTTGGAGCCTCTCTATCCTCAGTTCCCTGGAAGGTAGCGTGATACAAAGACCTGTGAACTAGTCCTGGTACTGCCACCTACTGGATATGTAACCTCAGGTAACATACTCTTCTGAACCTATGTCAATATTAGAAAAAATAATAATATCTAATTTAAGGATTTTTGAGGATTATAGTTATAAGCCACAATTTTATATAACTGATATTTCAAAGAATTCCAATTTCTTACTCAACGTTTTATACTCCTGTATTCATTGATCAAAATATTTTTATCTTGCACAAGTACTGTAACAGGTTCTATGGACACCACAATATGATATGTACAATTTCTATATTAACACCTGCTAATTATTATTGTATTGAGAGAGAGAGAGAGAGAGAGAGAGAGAGAGAGAGAGAGAGAGTGTGTGTATTTCAGTGACATGATCATACTTCACTGCAGTCTTGACTTCCTGGTCTCAAGTGATCCTCCCACCTCAGCCCCGCCGAGTAGCTAGAACTACAAGCATGTGCCACTATGCCCAGCTAATTTTTTGTATTTTTTATAGAGACGAGGTTTTTCCATGTTGCTCAGGCTGGTCTCCAACTCCTGGATTCAAGCGATCTGCCTGGCTTAACTTCCCAAAGTGCTGGGATTACAGGCTTGAGCCACTGCACAGGCCATTTTATTCTTTCTTTGTATTCCCCAAGGCATCTGTCTTAGCATAGTGTCAGGTATGTAGTACTTAGCACACTTTTGAATGAATGGATGAATGCAAACAAGAATGGCAAATTGCACTGAAATTGTACTTACTTTATATAATGTAATATAGCAAATGTAACTTAATAATAGGACACTTCGTACTGGTAGAACAAGGCAGGATGGAGTCATATTGAGATTTCAGAAACCTTGTGCTAAATTTTCCATGTTTAACAAGTAACCTATGCCTATCACTCAACTTTTAGCTTATATTGATACCGGAAACTTCACTAACAAGATGGCCATGTTAGTGATAATCATTGTTTTATGACAGTCGGTCTGACTTCAGGACTTTTGCAAGAAACTTGAATTTCCCATCAAATAAATTGAATGTAAATATGTTTGATTTACTCAAACTCGTATTTTAATTCTCTATTGTTTTTCCATTCTCATGCAACAAAAAGTAAAAAGCTACCTCTTTTCATTTTCTGAAAGGTCTATATACTAGTAAGAGTGAAGACTTAAAAGGTGAAACTGATATCACGAAGGAGGAAATACAGAACAGTAACAGCTATTCATTTTATGAAGAGTAACAGAACTTCATTTTATTAGGTTGGTGCAAAGGTAATTACTTTGAAAGGCAAAAAAAAAAAAAAAAAAAAAAAAAAAACAAAAAACCAATACCTTTCTACCAACCTAATAGCACTACGTTACCTAGGCAGGTACAAAAACAACAGCCATAAGACGTGATTTCTCTTCATTTCTTGCGCACATTTACCCACATTGACAGTGAGACATAATTGTGGGAAAGATATGTTTTTATACTTAAATGAATAAAAATACGACAAAAAGAGTTTGAGATTTAAAACTGTTGTTCATTGTATCGGGAGTATATTTTTAGGTGGAGCTAACAGAAATGGAAGTGACCTGTATTTAGGTCAGCTGGGAGCCCTGCCAGTCATTCACCCCCACTTCCTGCCTCTTTCTACTCTCCCTTTTTATCCTCTTTCTGTGTCTTTTCCCATTACATCTACATGGTGCTCAAACCTGTCGTGATGCATTTACCACTACAGTATTTACTACACTTACGTGATTTGAAAATCGAATGGCAGATTTTTTATATACTCAACACATTTAAATGTTCTCTGAATCTTAGAAATTATAAAAAAGGGTGTCAGTCGCTTTGAGCTGCTGTAATAAAGTAGTATAGACTGAAAGGCTTATAAACAATAGACATTTATGTCTCATTGATCTGGGTGTGAGAAGTTTGAGCTCAGTGTGCCAGCACGGTCAGGATGTGGTGAAAGCCCTCTTCTGGGTTGCAGACTCCTAACCTACATATCCTCACATGGTGGAAGGGGCAAGGCAGCCCTCTCAGGCCTTTTTTATAAGGTCACTAATCCTCTCCCAAAGTCCTGTTTCCTAATATCATCCTTAGGGATTAGATTTCAACAGAGGAATTTGGGGGAAACACAAACATTCAGTCCATAACAGGGGAGATGTGTAAAATAAACTTAAGAATGATCTCTTGCAGGAATGGAATTTTGCTGTTGAGAAGCTGAAGAGTGAGGCACTGGGAATTCTGCTGTCAAAGGACTACGTGGAGAAAGAGCACCTCCAGCTCTCTCACCAGAAACTGAGTCAGCTTCAGGAAGAATTTGGTCAACTCATGGTGGAAAGGAATACCTGGTTAAAGGAGGCAAATGAATTTTTTAACAGTGCTAACAAGGTCAGTGTGAGGTCAAGTTGATAATTTTTGGTAATCAGGCAGACCGGTAAAAGACTCATGACTGCATCTGGCTGGAGCACATCACAGAAGTCAGAACTCCATGTAGAATTTCAAAATTGATAGGAAAGAAGAGCTTTTAACATGTATTTCTATTATGACCATTATTTGGCTCTCAAAACTAAAAGACTGTTTTCACATGTAAAGGGTGACTTTAAAAACAACAAACCTCATGAGGGTTTTTTTTCTGGGGGTGGGGGGTGGTGGTGTTTTGTTTGGCTGATTGGATGGTTTTTGTTGTTGTTGTTGTTTTGAGAAAGGGTTTGGCCCTCTCACCCTGGCTGGAGTGTAGTGGTGTGATCATAGCTTACTGCAGCCTCCACCTCCCAGACTCAATTGATTCTCCCACCTCAGCCTCCTGAGTAGCTGGGATCATAGGTACATTCCACCATGCATAACTAATTTTTTCATCTTTTTTTTTTTTTTTTTGGAGAGACAGGGTCTCAAACTCCTGGGCTCAAGTGATTCTCCTTCCTCAGCCTTCCAAAGAGCTGAAATTATAGGCATGAGTCACCACGCCTAGCCTCATGAGGGTTTTATCTTACAGCTGCCATTGGTCTATTTGGGGGTGGGGGGACACTTGTGCTCACATTGTAGTGTTTCTCATGGAGGAAGACAATTATCACAAATATATCGAGGTTTAAAAATATCTTAAAATTTTTACCAAAGGGATTCTTTTTTTTTAATCCTCTTTTCTTTACCAGTTAAAAATATATGAATATTGCAAGCCCTTTGTACACAAGCCATAAGTCTAGAAACAGTGCCTTAGCATGATTGCTCTGCCGTGGTCTTGCCTAAGTCAGCCAAAGTGAAATCTGCCTTTGGACCACCTCCAGGTCTTCTTGAGTTGGAGAACTGCTGTTTCTCCTCTCTGATTCATTGGGCATTGATTGTAGCAGGTGATTCCTGCTAAGTAGCAATGTTTACCTGTTCACATCACTTGAGAACCACTCAGTATATGAGGCTGGTGATCTTATTTGAAAACATTTTCTACCTTTTTGTTTCATACTTTAAATTTCACTGTTGTTTTCAAAGTAGACAATGTGACAGGAAACGAATGAGGAAACCCTGGAAGCTAGGTACATTGTGATCTAAAATCACAACATCAACACCCTGCATACAGTGTCCTGGTGTATATCAAAATAGTGAATTAATTTTGAACTTTTTTACTAATAAGAAAGTTTTTGAAAAAATAAATAGTAAAATTTCTTTTTTTTTTTTTTTTTTTGAGACGGAGTTTCGCTCTTGTTACCCAGGCTGGAATGCAATGGCACGATCTCGGCTCACTGCAACCTCTGCCTCCTGGGTTCAGGCAATTCTCTTGCCTCAGCCTCCTGAGTAGCTGGGATTACAGGCATGCACCACGATGCCCAGCTAATTTTTTGTATTTTTAGTAGAGACGGGGTTTCACCATGTTGACCAGGATGGTCTCGATCTCTTGACCTCGTGATCCACCCGCCTCTGCCTCCCAAAGTGCTGGGATTACAGGCTTGAGCCACCGTGCCCGGCTGAATAGTAAAATTTCAAAACAGAGGTGCTAAGTTGTGGTAAAATGTTAAAGATTTATTGTCAAATTATTTGTCATTGGGAATTTCTTTAAGAGAGGAAGCAGATATACCATATTACTGGAGCTGTTGAACTAATTAGATGTTAGGTGCTAGTTAAGTTTCTCCTCAGTAATTTTGTTTTTGAATGAGAGACTCTTAAATTTACACTGCATGTTCATTCTTCAAAATGAGTGGGTCATCTACAAGTCAGTTAATACTGCTTCTAAGGAAAAGAGTTATGAAACATACTACTATAAAACAATGCTTCCAGTACAAACCCTATAGTTTATAGCCTGGCAAAATACGGTTTCTTTCATTCTCATTTTCTTACTGTTGCTTTCTCTGCTGTCATTATTTTGTACTTTGCTGAGATATTTTCCCAGTTTTAACAGAGAAGGAATATGTCCTGCAAAAGTTTTTTGTTTTTTGTTTTTTTTTTTTGAAGGAGAAGAGAGTGGTTACTTTCTCAAACTCATACAGTAATTCAGCACAGATTAGAGAAGAGAATTCATGTTTCTTGACCACAAAAACATTTGATTTCTAGATTCCCTGTTTTATCATTTGAAAGCCTTGGCATGCTAACTATACAAATCATAATAAGCTCCACTGGGATTATCCATATTATAGCACGTTCTATAGCCACGTGGCACTCAGGATAGTGTTAGAATCCTCTCCCTTTTCAAAGCATCAAGGAAATAATTTCTGACTCCAAATCTAAGAACTCTATGTGAGAGATAATGGATATTTCTACCCTTAGCAAAAATAAAAGCTGGAGTAGATTTTTAATCATGACTCTTGAAATGAATTCTTTACTATATTATTAGGTAGAAACAAATGATGAAATTATGTAGTATAAAGCCACTTAAAAGAAAATTCTCGTGGCTGATAAATGGTATTTTTCTTTTTTACTGATATTGTAAAACCTCCAAATTTTACAAAAATCTGACCACTTTACCCAATTTTTAACGTGACTCTCATAACCCTAGTTTAAATAAAGCACTGATTTTTTAAAATTAATATAATTTCAAAATCCCTCAAAATTCTTTTTCTAGAGTAAAATTCTGTTTACACTAGTGAAAAGGCATTTTCAGCTTATATAACCAGTTGTCTCCAAAACACTGAATTTTCCACTTGAAAATTCACTTTATTGTGCCTTGAGTACACTGGGGTTCCCTAACTGTGAACATTCCTGTTCTTAGATGAAGTCATGCTCTCAAGAACTGTGAGGGCCTTGAGATTTTACCCTACTTTCAAGCTAACATGTTAACTCATCACAGTTTCCTGGATGATTACATAAGACTCCTGACTTCTGGGTCAGAGGCTATTTATTACAGCAAAGCAGTAGCCAGAATGTTACTATGCCACATTGATTCTCCCAGCCCCAATTCTCCCTGGGTGATGCAGATGGGCCCAGTTTGATGTATGCACCTGTAGCAGATGGGGTTCAGGAAAGGAACCCTAAACTTGGGGAATCAGCAAATAGGAAGCAAGTTTGCTCTTTGTTTTGGAGGGCAACATCACTTCAACGCTGAAAAGTGTAGACTCAACACTGAAAAGTGGCCCAGATGTAGAGGGCTCAGAGTCTTGTATTCTTGACCTACCAGTGGGAGCACCAGAGATCCATGAACTTCCTCTCCCAACACATGCAGATCTGGATGTTAGCACTGCAGGAATAAAACTTGAAATCAGCATTTTACAAAAAGGTGCTTTCCTTGAAAATCAGTTTCATTCTGGATAAGAGGAATTATTTTTCAGCAAACAACCTCTTGTTCCAAATTTGTTGAAGCTAGGTCAATATACTTTTTCAATTTCTGTGTCAAATACTAGTGTAACAAATGTGTTAGTATCGTGGGCAATATATAAATAAGTGAGTGGGATATCTTGAATATCAGCTTGGTAAAAAGTGAAATATATGATTTTTCAAGTATGCTTTTTACTTTTTTGAATTTTGTTAAAATAAAAAGAATATCCCATTTTATCTGCAGAATAGACTGTTAGTAATTTTCTCATATCACATATATTTCTTTCTTCATCCAGGTTTTAATCATATTTCTGGTTAAAATCATTGAAGAGACTCTCTCCCCCTTTCCTTTCATTTTCTTTCTTTTTTGGGGGGGAGTGGAGACAGGGTTTCACTGTCATCAAGGCTGAAGTGCAGTGACATGATCACAGCTCACTGCAGCCTTGACCTCCCAGGCTCAGGCAATCCTCCCACCTCAGCCTCCCAGGCAGCTTGGATGCCACCACAGCAGGCTAATTTTTTGTATTTTTTGTAAAGACAGGATTTTGCCATGTTGCCCAGACTTGTCTTCACCTCCTAGGCTCAAGGGATCTAGTCCACCCTCCTTGGCCTCCAAAGTGCTGGGATTATAGGTGTGAGCCACCATGTCCCACCTCCTTTCATTCTCATTCATTCTGCTCTCTAAGAATTCTAGGTAGGGACATTATTAGTTACTAGAAATATGTCACAATAATTTATTTTATTATTTAAAGATGAATTCATGAGATGAATTGCCCTTCTTCTCTTTACATATTTACTTATTTAGTATATATTTATTGAGCCACTGCTATGTGTCAGGCATTGTTCTAAATGCTGGGGATATACCAGAGATCAAAACATACCAAAAATCCAAAAGCCAATATATTTTCCAATTTGTGAGATTCAGTAAAATATAATTATCACTTAATTGCCCACGTTGACAACAGCTCCCTCACTGCCTTTGCCCAGTGCTCCAGGAGTGCAATGGATTACCTTTAATTCTGCTAGGGTTTGATGATTACCCCAGGTTCAGGAATGTTTCTCACCGAGGTAATTAATGTCTGGCAGCCTGTGTCTTGAGATATGCATGTTTGGACCCGGAGTGAGCAGCAGGTGGCGATGTTGAAATGGCATTGCTGTAAACCGACTGCTGGATTCAAGTGAAGAGTGAGCCGTGTTAACTCAAGAATCTGATATACTTCCTGTTCTTTTTAGAATTTCCTAATGTGTTTGGTGAATGCAGCTATTTGTTAAATCACTTAGCAGAATATACAAGTAAGTGTCAATTGCCGACAATGACTAATAGCTGATTGGAGAAGAGTTTCTCTAATTATCAGATGTTGCTAAGACTTATAAGAACATGGCATGAAATATGAATATAGCACCTATTAGAATAATTCATCTTGATCCTCCAAAAGATTCATCCTTCAGGATTGTAGATTATCTTATTTATTATACTTCTACTGTGTTCACAGAAGACGAGCTACAGTTGATATTTATTGATCACCCCAAATATATTCATCATTGTTAAGGGAATTTAGTTTGAATCAGAGACAAATATATAATGTTTCAAAAACAGAAAGGCATGAGCCTATATTTATAGGACAGCTGCAACTGAACCCGAAACTGTAAAACAT